CCTACCAGCTTCAAATAAGTGTTGGAAGATAGCTACTACATGTTTTGATTCTATTTTCTTGCTACTACACTTTGAGATGGTCAAGTTAGTGTTGGAAATTGCCATCTAAATAGTTTTAGTAGTTTGGATTTCAAATTAGAAACATTTTTTCAAAATATCAAACTGATACAGGGTGTAGCAGCTAAAAACAAAATAAAACGAAAAGAAAAATTGATATACAGGGACCACACCCTAGTAATTTAATCCGGAAGATCTGCAGATCGTATTTTGGATCCGTAACTTCCAAAGGTCCAAATTATGCTTCTAGACCAACATACTAAAATTTCATTACGATCCAATGGTCGGATCTCCGTCAATCACGAATTCATGTGGCGGTTGACGTTTTATTTTACAAACTTACAAATCTAATGTGGGAAGATCTGTACGTTGAATTCCCAATCCGTAAGTTCCAAAAGTCCTCAAATATTACGAATAATAACATATTAAAGTTTGATGACGATCCAACGGTCGGATCGTCGATTCATATAATGACCTAGTAGCAGTCTTTAACAAAACTATGTTCAAGCGATGAGATTTGTCAATCAGACATCACATATAGAATTGAGGTATCAAATTTAATCTAGGAAGGTCAGGGGGTACCTCGGCCCACGCACCGCCGCACACGGCGCCCGGCGGCCCTGACTCGTCGGAAAATTTAACTATTTCCAAAAAATTACCAAATTATACAGGCATGTAAATCTCAATGAGTGGAGAAAGTTTCATACCTGTGGCCAAGTCCAATTTTTTCGAGAAACACCTCAACTTGCCCATGAACTGCCAGAAACCCTTGATTTTGGGTGTTCTTGATTCGACTTCAAAACAGCTCTGACGCCCCAACCAATGCATGGGTTTTGTTCCCGAGGTTGAAGGGAGTCCATTGGTGGTGGTGGTTGATGGTAATCGTTGTCGGATTCGCCGGTAAATGGGGAAACTCGCCGAACAACCTGAAACTTTGTGGCTTTGATTTGTAAAATTGGGTTTGAAATTTAAAAATCTAACATCACAGGGACATTGGGATCACCAAGAGCTTAACATAGACACTGGAACCATTTCGAACGGACAACGAACGGAGGAGATAGAACCGGGTCAAGGAATCGGATCGAGTGGAGAAACCAGGTTGGCCGGTTCTATCCTTCTCCCTTCCCTCCTTGCTTTCCCCTCTCATTGGTTGCTGCCTTCCTTCTAATAATCTGATTGGTCACTAAAGAAAAAAGCTGATTGGTCTCTTTCTTTCTCCTGATTGGTTTTGTGTGAAATTTTCTCTTTGATTATAAACAATATGACACAGTGACTAGCTTGATTTTTTATTTTTATTTTTATAGGACATAGTGACTTGCTTGATGAATGTGTTCTTGTTGAGAAAAATTTATGGAAATCAAAAATACAAGTTATATGGTGTATTATTCTACGTATTATAATAAAGGTAGGCGACAATGTTGACGTATGTCACTTCTTGGGTATATTAATAAAATAACAAATTTATGTTTTATATTTGAGTAAAATAATAACACTGCATAATCATGTCCGGATACATCAAACATTGCTCATTCTTGTTCATCGATAGTATGCACAAAAAAAAAAATATATATATATATATATAAATATATATATATATATATATTTATCTTTGGTTTTGTACAATGATAATTGCTAATTTTGGTGTAGTGTTGTGTCATTTATTTATGCCAACAAATAGTGTAGGTCTTCTGACTCCTCTCCTTCCGGATTGGTTCGTGTTTGCATCTCGTGATTGGATTGAGGATATACACAACAGAATACGGGTAATGTTAAAAAGATTAAATTTGTAGATAAAATTTGCAAATTAAATAATGTGTCACTAGTAAGAATCATCACGTTTATCAAAGCTTAAGTCATAATTTAATTATCAACTTTCATATCATTTAGTTTATAAAAATTTTTTTTACAAATTTAATTTTACTCACATTATCCAAAGAACAAGTAATGGGAACTTTACCACACCAGTAGAGAAAAGAAAAAATAAATAAAAAAAGCTCCGCCACTCTAAGTTATAAGAGAAGATAAAGGTTTTAAGTTACAATTACGGTCACTTTATACCATTGGTGTATAATTTAGTAGTACTTTTATAGGTTTGTAAGATTTCTTAAATGAAATCCAACGTTAAGGGGATCAGCTTTTGTGCATCAACACTTGATTGTCTCTAGCATTGGACAGTGCAGTGGTAGACTGATAGATATAGCTGGCATTCATCAATTATTACTCAATGATTTAAATGATTCTCTTCAACGGTTCCAATTTCTCGATCTGAAAGTTCCGAACATATGATTCCGAATGAAAGGCCCTTTTCGTGGCTGGCCTGCAGCCAGCCTACAAAAGTCGACAATAATTGGAAAAGTTGCACATTGCAATTATTTGTAAAGTTGCACATTGCAATAATTTGTAAAGTTGCATCGTAATGATTTGGAAAGTTGCATCCTAATGTGGAGACAAAAATGGCTATTGTACAAAACTGCGTTTTCATTTCGGTCAGGATTCTCACATGAAATGTTTTTTTTTTTGGTGTCTTCTAATAATGTAACATTCCAGAAAAATACTGTTGCACTTCAATTATATTAGACACCCACGTAAGTCTTGAACGTCAAGGCATGCTTTAAAAGAAATGAATTATTATCGAGCTATATTATTAGAAATAACAAAAGTATGTCTATATATTCATAAGTTTTATATCTGAAACGAGTTTTTAAGAAACTGTTTGGGTTAAAGAAAAGTCGTTTTCGAGAGTAGTTTCAATTGATTGAAAGGTTTGAAAGAGAACGTTGTTCTAGGGGATGATACATGTTGTTACCAGATTCAAAGGATTAGTCCATCCTTCAAGCCCACATAAGTCTTAATAAAATGACAAAAGGAAAGTCAAATATTTGAAGTAAATGAATAATCTTAAATTATGCTAAAAGAAACCCCTCATAAATCAATTAAAGCAGCTGAATTCATATAATAAAATCAATCTCTATAGAATTTACATTAAGAATAGAGAAAATAATATTTAATAAACAGATGATTGAATCACATTATTGCTAGTTCATTGTGAGGCTAACCCCACCCCCTCCCCCTTAGTGTAGATAATATCGTTTGTTAAAAAAAATCATTTGACAACTAATTTAATCACATTATTATCCGCATGTGAAATAATTTTTTATAACCGGCATTACACGCCTCTTAAGATGTTTTGAACGTGTTTAAAAAAAAAGAATTTAATCACGTTATTACTAGTCTATTGTGAGGTACTAATTAAAAAAATCACAAAAAATTAATTATTAAAAAACATTAGTAAAATGACAAAAATGCCCTTACCTTATTTGATGCATTATTTTGGGATGTCTTTGAATTTTTTGTCTTGGGGGAATTTTGTCTAAATTTTTTGTTGAAACTTGGTGACACCAAAAACACTATTCACTTTTTGTGTTGGCTTTATATATAGATTACTAGCCTACCAGCTTGAAATAAGTGTTGAAAGATAGCTACTACATTGTTTTGATTCTATTTTCTTGCTTAGCTTACATGTTAAGTTGGAAAAAGTGTGTGCCACTAGACTTTGCGATGGTCAAACTGTTAGCTTTATAAGGTTATACAATTAAAACACAAACGAATGAGTGACAAACCTGATTCCAGTTGTAACCATGGTACTCGAGTAAGGAAGGAGAAAGGGCACGGCGACACCAATGTCTTCTATAAACTCCTAGCATAATACAACTACTCCATGGGAAGCATTATGTTGTGTGTTCTAGGGCTTATAGGGACTGGTGTTTTTATATAGGCTAAAAGTTAGGGTTTCCATCCATAAAGGAAACCTAAACTTACTTTCTTAGCCTCCAAGTCAAGTATCATAATCATATTCAATTAAGGATTCCATCAATCCTATTTACAATATAAGATACCTTATATAGGATTGATATCTTTAAGAGATCAAATCACAATCAACATTATTCTCCAATATTACATTCCTATTACATGCAGTAGACCACTTAAAGGTTGATTTATATTGGATAAATCCAACACAAACTAGAGTTGGAAATTGCCATCTAAATAGTTTTAGCAGTTTGGATTTCAAATTAGAAACATTTTTTCAAAATATCAAACCGATGCAGGGTGCAACGGCTAAAAACAAAATAAAATGAAAAGAAAAATTGATATGCAGGGTCCATTATTTCCTAGTGCAAAGAGAGACCTGAAAACCCCAAAACCCCGTCTCTAGTACCAACCTACAACATAGACAACTAGAAGAATAAAGCTAAACAATCTCACAAACAAAAAGGCACAAACTGAGAAAGAAATCTCTCTGCATATTTCATTCATTCAAAAAAGGTCTAACATCCCCACCTTCCAGCAAGAAGTGGGTTTTATCACCAACTTGTAACTTACATTCAGAAATTAAAAGGGCAATAAACTTAATAGCACTGAAAATTGAAAATTACATAAAGAAAGGCTATTATCAGCAATAAAAATGTCGTGGCTGTTATGATCAGCCAAAAAAAGGCCCCAAGCTGTTATTGAGTTTATTAAGTCTTACTTAATAATGTTAAGCATTCAATTTATCCCAACGATCCATAAATGAACTAGCCATCAGATTTGCATCATCCTCTCTGGGTTGGAGAAAATTCACCTTCAAATTTGCAATTCTAGTATCTTCGTTGTCCACTTTGAATGGAATGAGATGTTTCACATTGAACACATTAGAAGTACGAATATGGCTAGGTAACTTCAAGTGATAAGCATTGAGGTTAATCTTTTCAAGAATTTCATATGGCCCAATCTTCCTTGCAAACAGTTTATTGGAATCTCCAATTGAAAAACGATCCTTCATGAAAACTGCCCAAACAAATTCTCCCACATCAAACTCCACCATTCGCCTTTTGGAATTTGCATGAGCTTTGTATTTCTGACTTGTTTCTTAAAGGTGCTTATACGTTGCGCTATCGATTTGCATGACATTATCAACGAAACTTTCATCTTTGCCACTAATTCTTTTCGCGTTTGGTACAGGAGTAAGATCAACTGGTGCTAGTGGAATTAAGCCAAAGACAATGTAGAAATGACACATTTCGGTGCTGCAATTGACGGAACAATAGTAGGCGAACTCCACAATACATAACTTATGGTCCAATGACTTTAGATGTTAACCAACTAAGCAACGCAAAAGGTCCCCTAATTAGCGATTCACAACTTCAGTTTGCCCATCAGGTTGAGGATGAGGTGTTGCTAAAATTCAATTGTGTATTAGCTAATTTCCGCAGGCTCCTCAAAAAATGACTCAGAAATTTGGTGTTCCGATCAGAAACAATCGATCTTGGTAACTCATGAATTCAATATACATCATGAAAGAATAACTCAGCAACTTTCGAAGCATCCATTGTCTTCTTGCAGACAATAAAGTGAGCCATCTTGGAAAATCGATCCATCACAACAAAAATTGAGTCTACACCGCACTGAGTACAAGGTAAACCTGAAACAAAATCCATGCTTATATCTACCCATGGTTGTGATGGAATGGGTAATGGCATGTATAATCCAGCGTTTGCCGCTTTGCCTTTAGAAGCTTGGTAGATTCGACATCGTTCTACAAAATGATATACATATTTGCACATGGTAGGCCAGAAATAAGAGAAAGAAATAAGCTCAGGGTCTTGTCCCTTCCAACGTGGCCTTCATTATGTAACTCTTGTATGATCCTCAATCTTAAACTAGACTCTGGTATGCAAAGTTGGTTCCCTTTAAAAAGAAACCCATCATGCAACACATATTATGTTATAGTTCTATGCTTAACATCTTTAACAAATGTAGAGAAGAAAGGATCAGTTTTCAATAAATCCTTCAAAGAGTCAAACCCCAATACTTGAATTCTCATCGAGCCAAGTAAATACTTCCTCCAACTCAAAGCACCTGCAACTTGATTTTGCACATCGGCTTTGTGCTTTAAGATGAATGTAAATTCTTGCAACTATGCTGCCCACTTAGCATGCCTCGTTGGCAATTTTTCCTGATTGTTTATATGCTTTAAAGAGTCATGATCGGAGAACCTAACAAACTCTTTGTAGATCAGATAGTGCCTCCCATACTGCAATGCTTGAACAATGGCATAGAATTCCAAGTTGTTTGTGGAATAATTCAATGTTGAATGATGAGTCCATATTATGCCATATATTTCACCATATTCTTAGTTATAGTTAGCAAAGTCTTGGTGGAACAATTATTACTTTATTTATAACAATAACTAAACTTTACTTTCTTTTTTTAGAACCAAAAAAAAAAACAAAAAAAAAAAAAAACAAAAACAAAAAAAAAAAAGAACTCAAATGAAAGCAAGTGCTTCAATCTCACCCCCAAAAATCATGTTGGTGTGAATGTGCTAATTGTCAAAGGATAACTCATGAATTAGTACCTAAACAACAATAAATAGAAAATACTCTATCGTGGGGTTCATCTCCACCATGTTCATTTGTTCTAACGTTTAAAATAATATATGAATATAAACTTAAAAAGAATGAAAAAATTTAGCATACTTAAAAATTAAAAATCTAAATATTTTACTTTCCCACCTCAAACTTAAATCATACATTGTTCTCAAGATGCGGAAAAAATAAAGAAAAAAAACAAAAATATTAAAACCTTAAAAACCGAAAAATAGCTGACAAAGACAAAGAAAATAAACTAGGGAATAGAAATAGAAAAAAGAAACAATGAAAGAAAGTATAAAATAACAAAGGAAACATAAACAGAAATAAAAGAAAAGACAAGGAAACTGACACACCTGGGATTCGAAGTGGTGACGTGGTGACAAGAAACAGAGGCGCTGGAAAATATTGGAAAAAAACGATATTTCAGTGCTCTGGAGTCTGGAGAATTGGAAAACCTCTCCCAACCAGCGCCGCTTGAGAACCTCTCCCTGTAACCCTCGAGCCCAGAGCCGCTAAAGCCATCTCCTTCGTTTCCTCTCTCTCTTTTCATTTCTCATAGAACTGAAACCCTAGCTTCTATCTTCAACCCAGAACGTCAAAACATGAATCCATCTCCATCTCTGTCAAAAACGGAACCATGGCGATCTTTGATTCTAGCCCAGATTGTCACCATCGTGCATTCCTCTGCGAAACCCGAGGTAAAGATCTCTCATTCTCTCTGCGATTATGGTCTCTACTTGGCGATATCTGAAATAAAAATGCATCCAACCATTTTCCCTTCCATTTTCATGACGGAAGGTCAAATGAAAACGAAATTCTGACTGATGCATGTATGTTTTCTGTGTGTAGACTTGGGGATCCGAGTAAGGCCAGGGGGCATAGGAACTGCAAGGAGCAATGGCTCACAAATGAAGGTGCTGTACACACAGCAAAGATGGCTGCAAGAACTCGGATCTACAAAATGAAAGGTAAATCAAATCCCTCCACTGCGTTAAAATTAAGCATGGTTTAATATCTCTGAAAGTCATACAGATTTGTGAAATGTTTCTGTCATGCATTTATAGAACTAAAATTTCGTCAATGCTCATGTAATTTTCTGTGTGCTTGCATGCCTCCATGTGACAAATATTGAGACAAAAACTGTGCATGACACTGGATCTGTGACATGGCTTTGATGAATGTCCACCTCTGTGTTGCCTGGACCAACAATATTTTAATGAAATATGAGAGTGAGCGAGCGAAAGATAAATGTTGATGAATGCTCAGATAAATGTTGATGAATGGATGACTGATGAATGCATATTTTTGTATCTTTATTGTTTCGTTTATAGACGAGTAAGGTTTATGTCCCTCTTCTTTTTCATTTATTTTTTATTTCTTTTTCATGTATTACGAGAAGTTAGGTTTATGTCCCCTAATTATATGTAACTTACTTTATGTTATTAATAAAATTCTCCTCGTACCGTCAAGGTTTTCTGAAAAATAAAATAAAAAAAGCAATAAACTACTATATAACGCTTCCCATTTTCAACCAGGGATAAACCTCTCAACATAGAGCAGGAAATCCAACATAGGTTTGAAATTTGATGAATACTTTCCACAACTTTGTTTTTTAATTTTTAATTTTAATTCTTTCAGAGTGTTCGTCTTGTAATGTTTGGCAAAGCTAGAACGTCATTGTTCAAGCATAATTCGATGCAAATAAGTTTGTTTGGCAAACATTGATCAACTAGCCATTTGCACTGCATTTTTTATCTAACAAATACGAGAACGCTTTCACATAACATCAATACTATTACATGCTATACCACATTATTAACAATAAGCTTCTATTCGCATATACCATTTGCTCGAAGTTTGTTTCTGATCCGACACATATGTGCCACAGCATCATAGATGTTCAATCTTTCTCTAGGCAACTCCGCTGAGCAAGCAACACCAATTTCTAAAACAGAGATTAAACTTTCTATGATTAGGATGCGATTCCTTGCCCTCCCCTCATTAGGATGATTGCTCTCTTGAACAAGAACGGGATCCAAAACCTCTTCCACTTGCTCAGGCAGAGCTGCCTTCACAAAGCTATAAAGGTTTGAAGTTCCCTGAAACATGTCATCGGTCGGTCTTTTTCCTGTAAATATTTCCAACAGGAGGATGCCAAAGCTGTACACATCACCTTGTGTCCACACTTCATGTCCCATGCCATATTCTGCATTCCACAATTCAGAACATTAGATTCTAATTTTCTAGTGAAATGCTAAAAGCTCATTTCATGTTTGAAAATTTTAAAATAAATACTGCACAATTTTAAAATACTAGCTAGGGAAAAATAAACCACCAAGTGTATTTACCTGGAGGAGCATAACCAATAGTTCCCTTGATCCCTAAAGAGCTTGATTGATTTCCCGAAGAATTTTCAGCAGCTTTTGGTAGGAACCTCACCAACCCGAAGTCACCTACATGTGCAACCATGTCCTCATTGAGAAGAATATTGCTGGGTTTGAGGTCGCAATGAACTATTGGCGTCTCACAATGATGATGGAGATAATCCAATGCCGTAGCAACATCAATAACAATATTCAACCTCTGAGAAATTGTTAAGCTCCTTGGCCTCTCATTTGTCTCACCAATTGTATGAATTGGATACAGCCATTCCTCCAAGCTCCCGTTAACCATGAACTCATAAATTGAGGCCTTGAAGTCGTGACCGCGATAATCAAAACCAGAACATGCTGAGAGTACCTTGACAAGATTACGGTGTCTAATATTTCTGAAAGCCTAGCACTCAGCAATAAAACTTTTGTAAGCTCCGCGACGAACGAGGTTGAGTACCTTGATGGCAACTGTAGTTTCACCTTGCTCAAATACTCCTTTATAAACGGACCCAAAACTGCCCATACCGACCAAGTTGGTTGAGGAGAATCCATTTGTTGCCTTTAGAAGACTTTGGTAAGACACCTGGGGAAATTTGTCCGAATCAGTTGCAGCTTGACCCTTTTTGTCCCTCCGTGAGCAATAAAGGTACAAAAAGGTTAGTGCAAAAATGACTCCAAGAATCCCACAAACGAGGGAGAGAACCAATTTCATGGTTAAGCTCAATCCTTTCTTTTTTGCATGCTGGAGTTTGCACTTTGGCAAATGAAACTCAGGTATGCCCCCACAAAGCTTGCTATTTCCTTCAACTGATGTCGCCGTTGCATTCTTGAACGCTCCTTTGATCGGCAACATGCCCTCAAAATTGTTATAAGATAGATTCAGAGATTCCAAAAATACAAAACTTTCTAAGAATTCTGGAATTGTTCCTGACAAGTTGTTGTGAGAGAGAGACAATTTTGTAAGACCTCTTAGTGAACTCAAAGTTGATGGAATTGTCCCATTGAAGAAATTTCCATGCATGTCTAGGTACTCTAATTTTATACAACTAACAAGACTTGTGGGAATTTTACCGAATAACATGTTATCAGAGATATCTAAATACTCTAGGTTTATTAAAATTCCTATGTTCTCTGGCAGGGAGCCTATAAAATGATTTTGAGGTAAACTCAGTACATACAAGTTCAACAGACCAACGATTTCTTGCAATATGATACCGGTAAAATTGTTAGCACCAAGAGATAAGATCCTCAAATTCTGACACTCACTTAAACTCTGCATATTGCCTTGAAGTTTGTTGCCTTCTAAGTATAACTCATTTAATTGACTTAAATTTCCGAAAGAGGATGGAAGATTGCCAGAGAGAGAGTTCCTACTCAAATTTAATTGATATAACTTGTGAAGCTTTCCTATAGCAGGGGGAATGTGACCTGATAATTGGTTCTCAGACATCCACAAAAGCTGTAAGTTAGCCAGATTTGCAATCTCATTTGGGATACTTCCTAATATTTTATTTTGACCTATAAGGAAGGTTTGAAGAGAAGATGACAGGTTTCCTATGCATTGAGGTAACGTGCCCCCAAACTTGTTGGCAAACATTTCGAGAAATTCTAAATGGGTGGCATTGCTCAAATCGCAGAGAAAGGTCAAGTCATCAATTCCCCCACTTCCGAGATGGTTGTCAGAAAGAATTAACAACTCAAGTTTATGCAAATTTGTCAAAGGAGGGACCTTTCCATGCAGTTGGTTAAATCCCATCGAAAATTCAATTAGATTTGAGGCATTAGATAATGAAACAGGAATAGGTCCACTGAATTGGTTATCGGTAATGGAAAATAGTTGGAGCCTCGGAATGACCATACCTAAGTTTGAGGGCAGACTCCCTTGGATTTCGTTGTATACCATGGAAAGGACTGTGAGAGAAGAGAGATTAAAGATTGAGGGAGGAAGCATACCCGAAAACCTATTTACGTCAAAAGCAAGAAAGCTAAGATTGGTCATTCGGCCAAAAATATCCGGGACAGTGCCACTCAAATTATTAGAAGATGAGGAGAACCCTTCAAGAGATGATAAATTGCTAAAAGAAGGAGGGACTCCCCCTGTAAAGTGGTTATAGTGGATGTGAAAAAATCTCAACTTTGACAAGAGGCCAAGCTCCTTTGGAATCTTTCCCATCAGCTCATTGAAACCAATACCGAGCGTGAGGAGCTGAGAGCAAAGCGACAAGTTAGTGGGAATTTCTCCACTCAGTGAATTGTTATTTAACCGTAGTTGTTGCAATCTGTGCAGGCGGCTGAATTCTGGAGGAATTTCATGGCCTAAGCTGTTGTTTTGGAGATCAATGACTCTCAAAAAACTCAAGTTCCCAACATGCGGCGACATAGATCCTCCTAGTTTCAAGGACCGCAGGCTCAAGCTTGTGACCCTCTTACGACGACGACCACATGTAACGCCATGCCAAGAGCAAAAGTGGATGGTTTCATTCCATGAAGTCAGGACTTTAAAAGGGTCATGAGTTATGCTAGCCTTGATTTCAAGCAAAGCGAGTCTATCTGTCTCATTTCCCGGAAGGGCGAAACAAGGAAGGCAAGAGTGAAGAATGAAAGCATGCATAAAAAAGGATGACAAAAACACTGCAGAAATGGAGTTGTAAAACCCCATCCCCATGATGATGATATTTGTTTTGTGCGGAAGTCAAAACTCAATTTATAAAAGAGTATAGCAGGACTGATCGTTTGTCTAGCAGCTTTAGCATAATCCAATTTATAATCATAACCGAGTGCTCCGTACGCGTGCAGTGGACCTACAGCCACCGATATCGGAGTCGATGAGGGATTGTTTGCATTGACTTGACCAAAAAATTATCTCTATTTTCTTTTGAACTTAATTATACGAATAAATTCAATTTACATCTAATTTTGTGAACTAATATTAGGAATATTTCACTTTTTTTTAAAATTATTGTATTCATTTATTCTTCTTTATTATTTTTTTTAACAAACGATATTATCTACACTAAGGGGTGTAGAATGGGTGAAGCCTTACAATGTGTTATTAATAATATGGTGAAAATTCACCTTTGGTGAAAATTGAACCAAAGACTTCTCACTTCCAATGAAGAGGAATATCACTAGACCGTAATAATAAGTGGCGTATTCATTCTTTAACTTAAAACAAATGAAAAAAAAAAAATAGAGATATTGGTTTTGCGTGAAATTTTCTCTTTGATTATAAACCAAATGACACAGTGTCTTGCTTGATTTTATTTTTTATTTTTTTTATAGGACAAAGTGACTTGCTTGATGAATGTGTTTTTGTTGAGAAATTTTTATGGATACCAAAAATACAAGTTATATGGTGTATTATTTTGTGTTTTATAATAAAAGTAAACGACAATGTTGACGTATGTTACTTTTTAGGTATATTAATAAAATAACAAATTTATGTTTTATATTTGAGTGAAATAATAATATCACATAATCGTGGTTGGATACATAAAAAATTGCTCATTCTTGTTCATCGATAGTATGCCAAAAAAAGAAAAAAAAAAGTATTTATCTTTGGTTTTGTACAATGACAATTGCTAATTTATGTGTAGTGTTGTGTCATTTATTTATGCCAACAAATAGTGTAGGTCTTCTGACTCCTCTCGTTCCGGATTGATGCGTGTTTGCGTCACGTGATTGGATTGAGTATATACACAAAAGAATACGGGTAATGCTAAGAATAATAAATTTATAAATAAAATTTACAAACTAAATGATGTGTCACTAGTAAGAATCATCACATTTATCAAAGCTTAACTCATAATTCAATTATCAACTTTCATGTTATTTAGTTTACAAGATTTTGTCTGCAAATTTAATTTTCCTAACATTATCTAAAGAACAAGTAATGGAAACTTTACCACACTAGTAGAGAAAAGAAAAGGAACAATTACGGTCACTTCATACCATTAGTGTATAATTTAGTAGTAATTTTATAGGTTTGTAAGTAAGATTTCTTAAATGAAATCCATCTTGGAGGGGATCAGCTTTTGTGCATCAACATTTGGTTGTAAATAATCTGATTCTAGATTATGGAATATTTGGACTTGACT